GAACATACATGCCTTCTGAATTTGCTCGGTTGCCAAGGTCTATTGACGACATTGAGTATTTTAAAGCAACAGAATTGAGAAATTTTGTCATGTACACTGGTGCAATTGTCTTGCAAGGTAAATTAAAGAAAGCTTTTTATAATCATTTTATGCTTTTAGTATTTGCTGTTCGTATTTTAGCATGTGCTGAAACTTGTCAGAAGCTCAATGATATAGCTTCTCAATTATTGAAAAAATTTGTTACTGATTATGCTACCTTATACGGTCAACATTTAATATCTTACAATGTTCATAGTTTGATACACCTACCTATGTTTTCAATGATACATGGACCACTTGATAGTTTCAGTGCATTTAGGTATGAGAATTACCTACAATATATAAAGAAATCTTTAAAGTCTTCAAAATATCCATTACAGGAAATATTAAATAGAATTGTAGAAAAGCAAAAAACTGATAACTCTAAGTTCGATCTCTACACCCAGTTGCCTCATTTAAGCAAAGAAATCTATCAACATTCACTATCAGGTTTAGAATTATCTGATACAGTTTATAGGAAATATAGCTTTATGAGAACAAATACAACTATAGATACATTAAAAGAAAAAGATAAATACTTCATGTTAGATGATAACGCATTAGTCTCAATAATTAATATTGTAAAGTCTAAAGACAATTCTATAAAATTTTTTGTTAAAAAATACCTAAATTGTAAAGAATTTTGCAATTGACCTGTTATTTCTTCCTTAATTATTGGCATGTACAAAATTAAAACTGATGAAATATCAGATATATATTGTATAAATGAAAAAAAATTAAAACATAAATGTTTTTGCATTAGTGTAGGTAATAATTTAGCAATTATGATAACATTATGCCATGAAATAAACATTTGAAAATAAATAAAAAGTATAATTTATATTAATATGCTGATATTAAAATTAGGTAAGTAGGTATCTATTAGTTATTACTCACCTAAATATCTAAACTTATTATATTTGTATATTAGTATTTAGTTTTTTTTTATTGTAATAATATGTAAATTGTTTGTCTTCTACATTGAAAATGTTATGTTTATAATAAATATGTACATAATATTAATATATTATGTTACCTACATGCAATAAAATAAATATATAATATATTATTGAAACTTGAGAGTATTTTTTTGTAAATTTTTATCATAATCATTTAATCAATCAATATCATTATCATGTTTAGGCCGTTGGAGGGTATGTTATCAAAAAATAGGTACCTAGCCTATAGCCGTAGCTGGGCTTGAATTACCTACCTATTTATTTCTTAGTTTAAATGGACGTACATAGGTAGGTACCTAAATTTGCTGTGTTATGTATTTCATGTTTTTAAGATGGTGACTAGAAATACAGTTAC